CTTACAGACTGTGCCCTTTAGTGGTTTAAATGACTATATATTCCTGAGTGTTTTTGTGTACAATCCCGACCCCCCACCCCCCCAAAAAAAACCCAGAGGGAATAGAAGCAAATACTGGTTTTGGTGGTTTAAATTATTATAAATGCCTGATTACTTAAAAAAGAGAGAGAGCTAAAATGAATAGACAGAAATACTATTAACTGATGGTACATACATACAAAGGAGCTCTGGTAGCGTAGTGGTTACGAATTGGGCTGGGCTGCGAACCGCAAGGTCAGCAGTTCGAAACTACCAGCTACTCCGCAGGAGAAAGATGAGGCTTTCTGCTCCTGGAAAGATTTACAGCCTCGGAAACCCTGTACAGGGTCGCTATGGGTTGGAACCTACTCGACGGCACTTAACAACAACAACATACATACGTGGAGGGGATTTTAATCATTGTAATGAAACAAAGCATATGATTTACTTAAGTAAAACTGATGATCTGCCCTGTAAAGTTTCATTCAATTGACAATAAAAAAACCTTTTTTTGATAAAAAGAATGCTGATCTGTTCTAAATTACTATATCTGATGCTAGAAGCAACAAGATATATTCTGAGGGAGGGTATGATTGCCTTCTACTACTTTAGCCTTGGTTGGTTGGTGGTGGTTATGTGCCGTGGAGTCAGTTCTGACTCATAGCGACCCAGTACAGGGTTTCCGAGGCTGTAAATCTTTACGGGAGCAGAAAGCCTCATCTTTCTCCCGTGGAACAGCTGGTAGTTTCGAACTGCTGACCTTGCAGTTCGCAGCCCGATTCGTAACCACTATGCTACTTTAGCCTTAGGTAATGAATAAATACTCATTCCAAATGTCTATTATGGATGGCTGTTTTAAAGTCCCTGGGTGGTGCAAATGTCTAGTGCTCAGCAACTAGCTGAAAAGCTTGAGGTTTGAGTCCACCAAGAGGTGCTTTAGAAGAATGGCTTATGGATCTGAGTACTTTTGAATAATCGGAAAGAATGGAGCATGGTTCTACTCTGGTACACATGAGGTTACCATTAGTTGACTCAACAGCAGCTACTAGTTTCACTGGTATCTTATCCCCTTCTTGAGAGTGAACAATTTCAATTTATGTTATTCCTGAGAGTAAAAGACTACTAAAATAATAAAAATACTATGGAAGAAGTTTAAGGAGTCTTCAAAAAGTTCATGGAAATTTTTCCTTTTTTTTTTAAAAAAAAGAACTTAAGACTTTATTTATACATTAGTGGGCTTAACATTAATAGTTATTCTGATAATTGGAGATGCATATCCAGAGGTAAATCAGTGCTCAAGAATGAAGCATTGATTTGAAGCACATACAAAGGGGCTTCAAAATGCCTGTGGAAAAATTCCATTATCTTTTAATTCCAGTTTCCATGAACTTTTTGAAGTCCCCTCATATTTGGTTTTGACGCTAGTTTGAGCAGTAATTAGAGTTATGAACTGTTTGTTTGGATTAATAGTCATTTCATAGAGGTTTGTAAGGGAGATGATTCAGAAAAAGACCAATCATCTAGAAAGATAAAATCTACACTAGGGAGTGATTTGTCCAAATGTAAGGACCAAACTGATTTTACCTGATTTTGCCTACCTAGAGACTGCTTGACTAAACTCTAGTCAGGCTCAGGAAAGCATTTTAAATAGAC